TTTGTGGCACGAGTGACGCCTGCAGTGCCCTGTGCTGGTTCAGTATCTGAAGGCAGAGGTGGCTGAGTTGGGTCTTCATGACGGGCACCATTGGGAGAGGCAACAGCTGTTATGATGATGATATAATCAGTGTTGTACTGAACTCATTTGGTACCAACACCCTCCCATTCCATTTCTGTCATCTTCAGGTCTTCTCTTGCTCTTAAGAGAGGATACTTTTCACTATTGCTCTTTTCCAATTACCAAAGGAGACAGGAACGTAATGTTTCCAACCACCCACATGTCATCCCTGCTTCCTTTACTTTATAATTAGCTACTTTCCTTTGCCATTTTCATTCACTTTGTGACTTAATCCACGTAATTTCCAAGGTCAGCAGACACAGAAAAAAAAAGACAGTAAGACAGCAATTAGGGGAGCTCCCCGACCTGTATCACAGACTGACCACAAATCCTTATCTTCAGGAGAAAACTTTCTTACTTATTCAGAAGTAAGATGGATGGATGATCAAAGCAGTACATGAACACCATACAAGAGATTTGACATGGTAGAGAGGTGACTCACAATGTCCTAAGTTTTTGAGTAGCAGCTCTATAATAAAGGATTATAGTTACCCTCTTCTCTTATTTTATCATAAAAATCTGACATGTTTCTCATATCCTGCTTTTAGTACACCACTGCCACAAAAGCTATGTGCTATACCAGACTGCATTGTCATTGCCTGGTAGAATTAAATACTGTTTATTTTGTAAATTCCTCCCCTTTACCATGCTAACAGTGATTCTGAACGAGGAATTAAATGGCTTTAAATATATGAAAAGCATACTTCTTTCAGATTTTTCACAGATTAAAAGTGTAAGCTTATTATTGTACAATGTCATGCAGTATTATTCTAAAACAGACCATCATTAAATAGATGAAATTAATATTAGTTGTACCTGTACTAGAAGACTGTTTTTCATGATCATTCTTTCTGGAGGAAATAATTCTATCCATAACAGTGGGTTGTACGGAATAAACATCTCCCTCGTCCCAACCTGGATACACCAATGGGTCTCGCGCTGAATCATTCTGTTTGGCCCCGTTATCGGATGCCATAGCTGTTATGATGATGGTGAAGCAATTATGAACTCAGTATATAAAGATCCATTTCTCACATTATCCTCTTCTTCGGTTCTTGTCTCTATGACAGGGCTTGCTCACATGTCTACTACATTTAATGGTAAAGAGAAGTAAAGCAGATTTGCTTCTCATTCTGGTTTATAATTAGAAAAGCTGTGTACTGTCACCAATAGGAATGAATTCTTCCTCAAACTTTTTCAGAATCAGCACCTATTGGTTTTCAAAAGCATTTCCCCAAATCCTGCTGATTTTCATGACTTTGTATCAGCTGGATATCACACCAATATCCACTGATGCAGACATAAGAACCAAGACAAAAATAACTGCAAGACTATGCCCTGTAAGAAAGTTTTTAATCCACAGAATTTAAATATACTGACTATATCCAATTTTCCTCCTCACAATTTCACTACATTATTAGTTATAGCCTCCTTATGAAAAGAAATAAAGATGTTTAGCAAAAGAGAGGGCTATCACAGGTATCAGATTTTTGAACAGTGCAAACAATATATTCTCACAGTACTTCTGTCAGAATATATGAAGCTGCAATTATTTGAAAAAATAATATGTAGCCCATATCAACCACTCTGCATCTTTCTGTAGACAGTAGAAAAAGAGTGAATAATATAACCTTTTGAATAATATAACCTTAACATTTCTCCATCTTCTCTGGGTATTAAATTAAAACAAAACAAAACAACCTCCCCCACCAATCCAAGCAAAATACCCCCAAAAAACATCTCCCCCACTTTTGCCAAGAAAATTACCACAACATGTTGATATTTAAATTGCAACTTGTTATTGTAATAGTTTAGTATTTATATGCATCAGTAATACTGTACTGTATCATCAGATTTTGAAGTGTAATGATGAAACATCTAGGGTTGCTACCTCAGAGGAATGCAGACTAAAATCTCGGAGCTGCATGACATGGAGCAGAGTATGTAAGAGGTGGTTACAGAATTAATGGCTATAGGTCTCAGCACACAGTCCAAATGGGGAAAAAAATTATCTGTGACTGAGCCTAATGAATAGAATATTTTCGAAAATATACAATACAAATTCCAGGTCTGCATCACTCAGGTTTATTCATAGAATCTCTATTATGGCCTCAAAGCGCAAATGTGTTAGTAAAAGAAACTGTCTAACTAAAACATGACCTTTCATATTACCTGTATGAGAAGATTCTGTTTCAATATGATTTTCACCTGGAAGAGTAAATTCGTGTTCTTCAGTACTTCCAGTGGTACTTGCAGGACTTTGTTCTTGACTGATCCATCCAGGATGAACACTGTGTAATAGTGGATGTTGGGTTGGTCCTTCATGTTTTTCATTTTCGCTTGTGACTAGTGCTGATAAGATGATGACTGAATCAATAATGATCATAATATCTGACCCCAGACATAGTAATCTCATCTTCATTTTTGCAGTCTACACAGTAAGTGCTTGTTGGGGATTTGTGGTTTTTTTGTTTTCTTTTAATTGTTGCATTTGATGTAAAATGAAAAATGAGAGAAACCATAGCTACTTTGGGATTTCTATCCTGCAAAAATATTGCCATGATCAGAAGATGCAAGTTTGCTAGAAGTTGTCCCAGTTACCAACGGCAGAAAAATGCTCCAAGAGAAGTAGTGAAAGAATGCACAGAAACAACAGCTTGCACCTCTACTTCATAATTATTATACTAATTTAGCTTTTTAGTTTGTGGCTTCTGGATTTGTAGAAGAAAAACAGATGATGATAAAAACAGATAATGAACTCTTTCGAGATAATATCTCTCTGCACAATTTAAGGCTCATTCAAAGGAAAATGCCATTGCTTCTGGTAACGGTTTGGATGAATGTTTGGATGAATGAAATAAATAGATTCTTATATCAGAAGCTGAAAAGCGTACTTGTTTTGATATTAAAAGCGTACTTGTTTTGATATTAAGTAATAATTAGAGCTCTCACTGATAAAATAAATTCACTGTTCACTGTTTAATTGGCTGTTGTTTACCTGCCAGAAGATGAAGTCAGAAAGCACTTGAAGTACCACCACCATAAGAGATTTCCTAACAAACATAAACAGACTTTGAAAAGATACAGTGGGTGGAAAAATGCATATAATACTGCAATGAAGATCAGAACTCTATTTAAAAAATATTTGCAAACTTCACTGTTCTCAGCCTTTCAAATCCATGAAAGAGTTGTTTCAAGCTGTTGGAGGGAGATCCCATAAAGTCCAGAAATTACCACAGAATCCAGTCTTTTAAAATTATTATTATATATATATWTTTTAATACAAGAATGAGAAAGCTTTCCTTAAGTCCCACTAAAATATATTCCCTTTCACTATAATCTAACTTCATGCAATTACTAGGCTGACTTCAAATCTAGCTGCACAGCTGTGSCTCTAGCTATTCAGTTGTACCCTGCTCTTTAACAGGGTGAAGAAACACCCTTAAACAAAAGCTCACATTCAGCTATGTTTTTTTTTGTTTGCTTGTTYTTTGTTTTAATTTTTAAATTTGGAAATTATTTACACGCATAGCAAAAATAGCTGGTGAATGAATTGGTCTTTCCTTCAAGACTTTTGGTGTGAAGAAMATTAAAAAATTTTCAACATCTCACTGGGATTTCAACACTAACATGAGTAGGAAAGTGTTGAAATGTTCACATTCATCTGGAGGTAGCCTAGTGTCTTTTGTAGCACAGTTGAGAATGTTATATTTATTATTCTTTTCAAAGTGAAGGCCAAATCATAAGAGTTCCTAGACTGCATCTTTTCTGTAAGACAACTGTCCAATACTAGTTGGACAATACTTTTGTCCAACAACTAAAGCCACTATCATCTCTAACTTCACTTTTGATCTCTAATGTAGTCTGTGAAACCAATTACATATAAGGTCATTTTTATTGTCTGCTAAAAGCCTATGTTTTAATCATCAAACTTCAAAATTCTGCTAATGGGCAGTTGACTTGATAGACTAATTAACTCACAACAAATAAGGCACCAGAAAATGCATCCTGTTTTCTATTAAGCATGCCATTCTGAACTCCTATCGAGCAAGAACTGAAAAAGTCTTTTAAGTGCCCAAACCRTAACAAACAGGAATGGAAAGGCAAGTTCAATAAGACAGAAGAAGCTAAGACTCACTTAATGAAGTAAAGTGATCGTGTTAATTCTAGAGCAAGAAATTAAGTTTGGAGAGCTAATAATAATAATAATAATGTTAGCAGTGCTCTCCAATTATATAAGCAATAAGAATCAAACCTAGGAAGAAACCAAGTCTTGTTAAATTGCATCAGAGGAACACAAGCAACAAAAAAAAATTTCAACAGATAAAGTGCCAAATGATGGAATTTAAAAAATCCCACAAACACTATATTTTTGTGTGATTCTAGATGTTTTCTTCAAATAGAGTCTCTGATTCTTCTTTCCCACAATAAAGAACCCGTCCAAATCAATATGAAGTTTTTATCTGCCAATTTGCCACCTCCCTGATTCTCAGATATTTCCCTGAATATTTCTGTAAGTAGACCTATAGTTTTGYATATGTACTAAGCAATGGAAAGAGTAGGAGGTTACTATTCAGTTGTGTCATATCCCTCACCAAGAAGACTTTGTTGTTCCAGAAATTCAGTCAAACTGAAAAATTATCATTAATATATCCTTTGATGCATTTGAATCACCATCTCCTTTTTTTTCTTAAGATTTTACAGTAGATACTTGGAGTAGTAGAAAGGAAGAACTGTTTTTCCTCACCAAGCTGGGTCATGAAAATGTTATATATTACAATATGCTCAGTTATATTACACTACCGGAGATGCAGATTTGAAGATCTTAGTGACAGTGAGAAGAGTGCCAAGTAATGAAGGCTGCAGGCAAAAGATATACTTGGAGTGGCAACTGAATGTTACAGACGACACCTCTGACAACTAGATCTGTCATGACAGCTAGAACATAACTAATTCAAAGGTATTATATTGAACTGAGACTAGTGGTATAAGAATTACAATCARTTTCATCATAACAGTGTTGTATTTCACTGAATTTATGTGACAAATTTGAACATTATCTGAATTATTTAAATTGCTTTACCCCTGCCAGCAGTGCTAGAATACCACTCCTCTTCATCTGTATAGGATGGGGTCCAGTGATCTTGCATGGAGATTTCCTTCAGGGTTTCACGTTGAGAGCTCACAGCTGTTAGGACAATGGAGGATGCAATGGTGGTCATGTTCTACTGCTATTACTGCACTGTTAATACGTGCCCATATGAATGAAGGAGAATAAAAATGCATGCCCAGCTTGACCTTAGTCTCACTAATTTTCTTTAGTCCAGAAGAAGAAAAACTCTGATGTGAACTTTCCCAAAGATATGGAGGAAAACAAGCAATAGAAGAAGAGAAGAACAGAAGTAATGCAAAACCACTACAGCTGATACAAAATACTGCAACCGAAACTTGAAGAATAATGCTGAAGTTAAAGAACACGGCAGGGTTCTGAGTACATGTAAAACATGCTTCCTAAGTTCTCAGTAAGTACTCAGATTCATTCTAGAATATCCACCACTAAGCTCAAAAGCAAAAGTCAGAAAAAAAAATAAAAGCACCATGACTGCCACCAGAAAGTCCATATTAGTCAATAAAGTTATAACAGAACTGAATAGATAAAAAAATAAAAAGCCCACAAGAGTCTGATAAGAGACGGTGTAGATTTACACTCATGATACATGCCAACATATAAAGCTCACAGAAAGCATCTGGGATTTGATGCACCATATGGATAAAGTCACAAGTGCAGAGTGGAAGCTAAATAAACTAACTTTAGGAATACCTAAGACACAGGCAAATGTAAAAGAACAAAAATCTCAAAGTAAGTATAATTCCTCATTCTTTCTTCCCCTTATTTTCAGAGCACTGCTGAAAACAACATTGAAATCTTTCCCAAGCACTTCACCACATTCAGAAACAAAATATTAAGTGTTTATAAACACTCATTTATACATGCTTCAGAATGCACAGGTAAACAGACAAAGCTGTGTCCGTTTAAGCTGTGCTTAAATAATATAACTTAAAGGAAGGAATTATTATCTTTGAAAAAGKAAATTCCTTACTAGTACTTGGAGAATACTCTTTCTTGGCCACAGTCACATCCCAGCCTGGAAACACTGTTGAGTGAAATGTCTCCTCTGAAGAATC